ACTGGACTCAGTCTGGTGGAGGCCTTGGTAGCTGTGGTCCATTAGTCCTTTGGACTAATCTTTTCCTTGTATCCTGTTCTCTTCATTCTCTCTTGTTCCCCAAGAGGTGAGACCAGTGGAGTATCTTAGATGGCTGCTCACGGGCTTTTAAGACCCCAAACACTACTCACCAAGGTGGAACGTAGAACATTGTCTTTATAAACTGTGTTATGCCAATTGAGCTAGATGTTCCTAGATTTAGATTTTTAAAACTGTGTGTCTGTGCAACATATCCATTTGTATTTTTCTTTCTGAAAGTTTCCTGATCGTATTATTAATTCTGTTTTTATGGGATTGTTTGTTTTTGTATAACTTATGTTAACAAATGTAAATAAAACAAAGTTGCCCTTTGTCATTTGTGAAGCAAGTAATTTTTTTTTTTGTTAACCTGGAATTTATACATTGAATCTGTGTGACTTATTTATACACATGTATGTGTGTGTGTGTGTGTGTGCATGTGACAGAGAGAGGTTTTTTTTTTTTTTTGCCATTCCAAAATATTTAATTGTTACGTATCCAAATTTAATATTTTCTTTATTGACCTTAGATTTTGGTTTTCATATAGAAGTTTTTCTCTATTCCGAAATTACAATGAATACCACTCACATCTTTTTCCCTAAAATACTCACACTGACAGATTTGTCTGTGTGATACTTTATTAAATTTTCATGCCTATTAGAATTGATAAAATGTCGGTTTTAACTCATTTCTGACATTTGAAAAAAAATTGCGTGGATGCTTGAAGAATAATAGATGCTCTAAGTTCATTGTAAAACATTGTATATATGTCTACTTTGTGTATTTAATGAGCTTTTTGATATGATATTCAAATCTTCTTCATCCTGTATACTTTTTTATTGTGTCCTTTATCTACACATATCTGATATAATTATGTTCAAGTGTCAGAACTGTTTAAGCTTTACTAAAAATTTTATCACTTTCTGTTTTGAATATATTTCAGTCTTCTTAT